CCCTTGTAAAGTTCACCCAAACCCTGGTACCCATCTTTTCGACTTCTTCTTCATCATCCCCTACTAGCTGCAACTCGAAACCAACAACAGACTTTCCCAGACTCCCAATTCAGATGGCCCGGTATGGTATACTTATGTATTCTTTTCCTCCGATGATTTCAGTGGCCTGGTTGGTCATGTGCTTCTCTACACATCTTTGTCATCCGGTTTATCCAACAGTTCCTATGAAGGTGTTTCATGGGCTTCTGTCAGTCCAATGGCACTATCGAAAGTTTGTGCTACCTCTTTACTCGGGATTTCCAAGTAAGTTTCTGTCTCTTCAGTTTCTTAGCTTTCTACACCTGGTGGTCTTATTATGGGTTTGCCCAAAGCCTTATACGACACCAGTTTTACATTCCTTTATATACATGTACCATGTAACATTACACTTAGCATAGATGCCCCGAGCTCCCAATGTCAGGTGGGGCCCACTTGGTGTACCTAAGATTACAGATGCCCAAAACCCAACCGATCGGCAAAAGACAGTTACCGTAACACAGATATAATTTCCAAAATTCGTTGTCTGTGGGAATTGAACCTTAGACCTGCCACTTGAGGGTTGACAACCTATCCACTTCACTAGATCACCACACCTCCTAGGTATATTTATATTTTTTATTTATAATAATAATAATAAATGAAATAAAATAAAAAAAATAATAAAATAATACTATAAAATATATATAAAATTGTAAAGATTAAAAGATTATAAATTGAATAATCGTTCTTTAAAACAAGTTTTTTCAATTCATCAAATTCCTGTTTTCTTTTTTTAAATATTTTTATAGTTGAATTTTGATTATTTAAAAGTTTAACACATAGTTTTCTATTAATATTTTCTAAATTTTTTGGAAAAATTATATTTTCTAGAAGTGAATTTTTCCAATAATGATTATAAACTTCAAAACTAGAATTAATATAATCAACATTTGCAATAATACCACCTAATATATAAGATATATTAATTTCTTATTTTAAATATACATTATCATCATTATTAATATAAAGATTTTCAAAATCATCATCATAAACATAATTTTTAGCTTCCTTAATATCTTTAATATCTTTTACAAATTTAATATCAAATTTACTATTGATGAACTTTTGAATATCTCCTGGTTTGATTCTTTTATTATTAGATTTTATAAAAAATTTAACACAACTATCAAGATATCTACTATACATATCAATTATATATCCATAAGTATAGGCAATCAAATCAGCAAATTGCCTATATAATGCATATCTTTTTTCTTGATATTCTAAAACTATATTGTTATATACTTTTCTTCTAAATGAAAATAAATCATCAAGAGAATCTTGTCCAGTAAATATATTGAACTTTGAAACTATTTTTATAAAAGATTTATTTCTTTGTTTTATTACATATTGATCTTGTAATGTTATATTAAGAAGATCATTTAAAGTAAATGTATTATATGAAAGTTCTTGCTTAATAATAAATTCATAATTGGAATATTCATCAATATATTTACTATTTTGTGTTTTAATGCAATATCCTCATCTATTTGTTAAAGTCATATCTAGTTTATTCACAAATATAGTTTTTCTAGTACTCAAATCTTCATAAAATAAAAAATTTTTTGAATAAAATTTTTTATTAGAAATAATTTTTTTCTTATTAATAATAGCAAGTCGATCTCTTTCAATCATCTTATAATACTGAGAATTCGCATACTAATATGCTGGCAGTAATTTTTTATTTGTTATAACTTCTTCATATAGAATTTCATCATCATAAAGTTTAATAATTCTTTTCATATCATCTAACTTTAACTCATTTATATTATTTGTTTCTCTTTCAGTTTCTTCTAAAAATTGATATGTACCAAATTCAAATAAGCTAACAATATTTGAAGATATTTTTACATGTCCCCAAATAGTGAGTTTACATTCACATATTGAATTATATTGATCATAAATTTTATTGAGATCAAAAAAATCACATATATAATCTGGATGAATTTTACAATGATCAAAATTTTTCATCACATATGCACGATTCTGATCAGAATTTCCTTTAAGTTTTGTAGGAAATAACATCAATCATCATTAAATATTTCTTTTGTACTTTTAATAGTTTGATATTTGTATTTATAAAATTGCATATATAGTTGGGCATGAAGCTTACCATTATCAGTAGGTTCAAATTTACCACAAATATATGATACTTTATCTTTTATTTGTTCATAATCTATTTCAGTCACTGGAAGTGACTATTTACATAATTCAATTTTATTTATTTCTTTACAATAATCACAAATTACATCATTGCATTTGTTTAAATTGCAACAGTTTGTACATTTTTGGTTTTTACAACACCAATGGCAAGCATTACAGAGTTCGTATAATGGAACACCTGATTGTTTAAATTGTTTTTCATAAAGCTTTTTATCTTTCTTTGAGTCTGTCTTTTTACATTGAAATTTTTCTTTACAAGGGATACAATAATATGATGTTGCAGCATTATGGATAAATTCATTTGATTTGCCTATTTTTTTTAAAAAAAATTTTCTCTGACTGAGATCCGTAACCCAAATATTTATAATTTATTTATTTATATTGTTAATCTAAAATTAATAGTACATACATTGATAATATATTAATTATTTTTTACAATTGACCAAAACTTATATATTAATTATGCTTTTATACAACTATAAAGATAAAAAACAACTTTAACAATATGATTATATAATAGACATTAAAAAAAGAACAAACTCTTGAATAAAACAATTTTATTAATCAAAAAATAAGTTACGTATATATTTTATTAGCATATAAGCGATAGACTTACTGAATCACAGCATTACAGCATTTTACAAGTAGAATTAATTGCAGCATATCTAATTTTATTAAACAAACTGCACATTTCTATATTTAGTCATTTATTAATTTATACATACTATATACTATTTAATTAAACTACTTATTTAAATTATTTGTTAATTTATACTACGTATACTATTTAACTAAACTACATATTTAACTTATAATTCATTTATGCTATATACTATTTAACTGCGTATCTAAGCTATTTGTTATTTTATACTATGCTATTTAATTAAGCTGCACATTTAACTTATTATTCATTTATGCTATATACTATTTAACTGCGTATCTAAGCTATTTGTTATTTTATATTAAGCTATTTAATTAAGCTGCGCATTTAACTTATTATTCATTTATGCTATATACTATTTAACTGCGTATCTAAGCTATTTGTTATTTTATACTATGTTATTTAATTAAGCTGCGCATATAAACTATTATTAATTTATACTATATACTATTTAACTGTGTATCTAAGCTATTTGTTATTTTATATTATGCTAGTTAATTAAGCTGTGCATTCTTTATATATTTAAATTAATTGTTAACCAAAACTGCGTATACTATATTATTTTAATTAAACTGCGCATTTTTATATCTAATTAATTGTTAATATATGCTACATATACTATTAAACAAAATTGTGTATTAAGTTGTTACTTTATACTACTATACTAATAAACAAGACTGTGTATTTAAATTATTTGTTAATTTATACTATATACTTATTATTTTAATTAAACTGTATTTTTATAGTTAATACATGCTACATATACATATACATTTAAAGTTATTTGTTAATTTATACTATACTATATATATAAACAAAACTGATCAATCGTGAAATAAATAAAGAATTATTTAACTTAGAAAAGTGTTAGTAAGTCTTGCTAAAGAATTAGCATTCATATATTGATTTACTAGTTAAATATAGTATTAAAGTACCTTATCAAATTCAGGACATAATTCATTATATATTTTTATAACTAACATTCATCATCTTAATTATTATAATTAACTCAGTTCATATTTTTTGAAAATTATTATTTATCAGATCTAATTTTTATTTTAATTAATTTATCTTTGTATTATTTTCTGAGAATCGCATGTTTAACATTATACATATAATTAAAGATATATACATTTACTATAACTTACATTATTTAATATCTATTTCTATAACACTGTCATCTTATCAACCATAAGCTAATCAAAACCTAGAAGTATAAAAATTAAAATAATGCTACTAAAAATTAATAAAATCTTAAAAATAATAGTAATTTAAGGAATAAATTGTTATTAAAATTGTGAACCTGAAGAACATTTTTACTTCATTATGTTTCTTATTTACTAATATAATGTCACTTCTAATTCTTTCTATTTTTTTTACATTGCTCTAATAAATCAAATAAATGAATATTAAAACTAATATCCTAATATACATCCGATACTATAATTTTTAAATTTTGGCGAAAATCTCTTACCGTAAAAAAATCCAAAAAATCACTAATTAAAAAAAAAGTCAAAATCTCTTACCAGCAGATTCATTATTAAAATTTCCGAAAATTACATTAGGAAAATCTACCGTGATTTGATTTTCTTAGAAATAATTATAGAGCTGGTGTAGTGTAAGGTCACTTACCCCAAAATCATTTTTTTTTGTACCCCAAAATTTGTACCCTAAAATCATAATAAATTTCTGCAGATAATTATTTGTACCCTAAAATTACTACTCTAAAATCATTATACTATTTCTGCAGATCACGTACTAAGTGCGGTTGGTAACATTGGAATTTTGCACATAGCAAAAAATAATTAAATAAAATGAAATTAACATTGTAAAATATAACATTTACATATTCAATATTTAGAAATAACTGAAAATAATGATAAATATGAAGTTTGTTATATAACATTTAACAAAATTTGGAAAAAATTTTTACTATATATTAAAAAATTAATTCCTAAAAGTGATTTATGTTTAAAATGTAAAGATATATGATTTAATGCAAATTATTAGACAATTGAAGAAAAAGAAAATAAAGTATTAGAATAGTATAAATATGTTATAAAGTAAGAGAAATTTATAAGTAAATAATTTTATTTATATTTATTTTATTTATTAAATAATATTAATTAATTTATTTAAATT